CCAACGGTTGCATCAATCCACTAGGCTTTTGATGTTCCACCTTAGACTTTTGACAAGTTAAGCATGCATACACAAATTGAGCTACATCCCTCTTTAATCCGGACCACCAAAAGATTTTCTTCAAATCTTGATACATTTTATTCGCTCCCGGATGAATACTTAAGTTACTTCGGTGTCCTTCTTCCAATATCATCTTTTTCAACTCCGCATCATTGGGAATACAAATACGACCACGAAATCTCAAAACTCCGAAGTTATCAACCTTGAAATCCTCATTCTCATTCATCATTAAATCAACGAACTTCAAATCCAACTTTTGCTTTTCACATACGGTTGCAAGAAAATCATTCGTAACATGTAGCATACCAAGTCTCACACTTCTCGGCGTCATTTCACAAACTAAACTCAAGTCTCTAAAATTTTCCAAAAGTTCCCATTCTCTCATCATCAATGCGAACATATGTAACAACTTCCAACTCAAAGCATCGGCCACCACGTTTGCCTTACCCGGATGGTAATTCAAACCAAAATCATAATCCTTCAAAAGTTCTAACCACATTCTTTGTCTCATGTTCAATTCTTTTTGATCAAATAAATATTTCAAACTCTTGTGATCACTAAAAACTTCAAATCTTTCACCATAAAGATAGTGCCTCTAAATTTTTAAAACAAACACCACGGCCGCTAACTCCAAGTCGTGTGTAGGATAATTCTTTCATGCACTCTCAATTGTCTTGAAGCATAAGCCACAAAGTTTCCATCTTGCATCAAAACACCACCTAAAACAGTCAAAGAAGCATCACAATAAACCACAAATGGTTTTGTCGGATTCGGAAAAATCAAGATCGACGCTGTCGTCAACCTTATTTTTAGCTCAATGAAACTCTTTTCACAATTAATATCCCAAATGAAAGCCTTTCTTTTACAAGTCAATTGCGTTAACGAAAGTGCCAACTTCGAAAATCCCTCAATAAACCTCCGATAATAACCCGCCAAGCCCAAAAAGCTTTGAATCTCCGTAACCGATCTAGGAGCCTCCCATTGCATCACCGCATCAATCTTGGTTAGATCAACACTAATACCACTACCAAAAATAACATGTCCAAGAAAAATTACTTCCGACAACCAAAATTCACATTTAGACAACTTAGCATACAATTGTTTCTCTTTCAAAATTTGTAACACAATCCTCAAATGCTCCTCATGCTTCTCTTGAGACTTAGAGTAAATCAAAATATCGTCAATGAACACAACCACAAAACGATCTAACTGTTCATGAATAATATGATTCATGTATTCCATAAACACACCCGGCGCATTAGAAACCCCGAATGGCATCACAGGATATTCGTAATGGCCATACCGTGTCCTAAAGGTTGTCTTTTGAATATCCTCTCCTTTCACACGAATCTGGTGATATCCCGATCTCAAATAAATCTTGCTAAAAACATGCACACCAACCAATTGATCCATCAAATCATCGATCCTTGGAAGCAGATACTTGTTCTTAATTGTCACCTTGTTCAATTGTCGATAATCAATGCATAACTGCATACTCCCATCCTTCTTCTTTACCAACAATACCGGAGCACCCCAAGGAGAAACACTTGGTCTCACAAACCTCTTTTCTAACAAATCACTCAACTGCTTCTTCAACTCTACCAATTCTGATGCTGACATATGATACGGTGCCATCGAAATTGGTCTAGTACCCGGAATTAGATCAATAGAAAATTCAACTTCCCTTTCCGGCGGTACATCCGTAATATCCTCCGGGAACACTTCTGGAAAATCACACACCACTAGGAACACATCGAGCTCAACTTTACTCTCCACCGACAATGATGCAAACAAACCAAACAATTGAGCCTCATCCGCTAAAAGTTTCTTCAACCTTTTAGTGGATAGGAAACTTTCATCTTCATCATCTTCCAAAGAAGGAAACCTCACTAACTTGTGATAGAAATCTATATAAACTCTATTAAATTGTAACCAGTTCATACCCAAGATTACGTACAATCCCTCCAACGGCAAACACACTAAATCCATAATGAAGTTTTTACCATACATGGTCAAAGGACAACTTACACACATCAAAGATGTAGTTACCGACCCCGAAGTGGGAGTCTCAATAACCATGTCACCACCCCAAGAAGTCATGAACAAATTCAAATGCTTAGCACACTAATGAGAAATAAATGAATGAGTCTCTCCAGTATCAATAATAGCAATTAAATGCATACTATTAATAAATCATGTACCTTTAATCAAACGATATTTACTAGTAGTGTCTGACCCAGCTAATGCAAACACCTTTCCGCCCGCTTGAGCTTGTTTCGACTTAGTACTAATGTGACCCACTTCTCCACAGTTATAGAACTTCACTACACTCCTCCTACAATCGGTGGTAGCATGCCCAAGGCCTCCACAGTTAGAACATTTCACCACTGTCTTCCCACACTCAAATGATTTATGACCCATTTCACCATACTTGTAACACTTAACGGAACTGGAACCTCCTCCTCCAGATCTCTTATCAAAGTTTCCCCTATGCTTGCCCTTATCAACGGGTGTCACATAAGGTCCACTTCTAGCTTGTTGCTTTCCCTTCCTCTCATTCAAACTTTTGTAATGTGTAGGACGAGCCTTGCTATCTTCCTCGAAGATTCTACAATATTCCACCAAATCCGTAAATCTTCTTATCCTTTGATATCCCACAGCTTGCTTAATCTCGGGACGCAAAACATTCTCATATTTAATACACTTTGAGAACTCAGCAGTAATTGCAGCATAGTGAGGATGGAATTGAACCAACTCCACAAACTTAGCAGTATAGTCCACCACTCGTTCACCAGCCATAACCAAATCTACAAAACCAACTGACATACTTCCCACCATTCTGTCATAATAAGTTCCTTGTAAGGTACCCATGAACATGTCCACGAGCTCTCTCTCCATTATAGGAGACTGAAATCTAGCTGCTAATTCATGCCATCTTTGGGAAAACTCCTTAAAACTTTCATTTAACCCCTGGGTAAGACTTTGCAGTTGATTCCTATTAAGTGCCATGTCAGTGTTGTATTGATAGTGCTTAATTAAAGCCTCTTCAAGTTCCCTCCAACTTCAAATATAAGTTTTTTCCAGCTGCATATACCACTCCGAAGATGCCCTAACTAAGTTGTCTTGGAAGAAGTGCATTAACAACTTCTTATCGTCAGAATAAGTGCTCATTTTTCTGTAATATGCCCTAATGTGAGTTTTAGGGCAAGTTTTGTTCCCTTGTATTTTTCAAAGTCAGGAACTTTGAACTTTGGAGGAATCTTCACACCTAGGACTAGCCCCAAGTCGACAACATCCATGTCGAAAGTGTTTTGGCTCTCCATAGCCTTCAACTTATCCTATATCTCTCATAGAAAACACATCATCCTAGTCATTATGCTATAACAGATGAGTAGGAATTTCAATAGTCTTCTTTCTTGGTTGTGTTAAAATTTCTTCAGGAGTAGGGGTAGAGCCAGCATTATTTTGGGGAGGATCGATAACACCATGTAGGGGGTTCACACCACCTTCTAAAGGGTTATCACCAATACCTTGACCTAGATTCTCAACTTCAGATTTAGGGATAACTTCATGGATTCACCTTCTAGAGGGTTTGCACAAGTTCCCTCAAATCTTCTTGTCCTTGAGCCATGGTCTGGATTACTTCAATGAATTAGCCCATCTGGGTCCTCATCTCTACCAAATCCGCCTGTAAATGCTCCATGATCAGTCTTTGATTGTTGCGTGTTAAGTAGCGATGAAAGTTTGGGTTTGCAATTTTTCTCTTTGAAACCCAAACCAGAATAAGAAAACCATCTAAACATCTGCTATGAATGTAAGAATGCATGAAAATGCATGCGAATGTCATGCTCAATTATTTCTAAGGAATCTAAAATCTTACATCTAAGTTTTTAAGCAAGGACATCAATAAGTGGATAGATCACTGGTAAATAAACTCATATCATACTCTGGAAAGCAAGGAAACTGTAATACACTGAAATCATACAACATAATTGTGACCAAAGGATAAAACAAGAAAACCCCAATCAACAAGCCTTGATGGTGGTCATAAAAAAATACAAGGTGAAACCCTAAGGTGCATTATCAATCTCTACATGGGCAAGTCCACCAAGGTGTTTCTTACTTCAGTCTTGTACTTCTTTGAAGAGTTTCTTGGTCGCATCGTGTTTTGGTCTTTGGATCAACTCTTGAATCAGAACGCCCATTTGTTAATAATTTTTACAATAATGACTCTTCCTTTCCTCTTGATCTGTTAGACTAAAAGAAAGATTTGATCTTGATCAATCGAATTTGATTTGTAAGTTTTCACGTAAAGATCCAATCTTCCATATGGATCATATGTGTTAAATCGATACTTTAGTTGTAATCATTAGAACAAAGGTTAGTTAGATTTCAAATTTTATATATCATCAACAATAAGCTCAAATAATAATTTTGTCATTGGTGATATATAATCCTTTTAGTTGAATACTAAAATTGTAGACAATTCAAATATTTTCATATACCTTATAAAATAATAGGATTATATATTTTTATTTTTAAATAAATGAAGAAAAAGATTTTACTCCGTACTTTTAAAATGAGTGTCATTTTAGAGAAATAAATGTCATTTTCACTTTTCAATGTACAAATTAATGCTATTTTTTCAATTGTGTCCTTTAATTAGTATTCTTTACACTACTTCCAACACAATAATTAGGCTAATTTAGTAAAAGTGCAATGTTTTATGACAATATTATTGCATTTCTTAATCTGTGTGTAAAAACTTTAAACGTCAGTCATTTCGAAACAGATGGAGTATATAATTAGACACTAAAAAAACCTTAAAAACTTTTAAAATTTTATATTTTTCAATATATTCATTTTAGAAAAATAACTGATATTTATTCAAACATCATTATAAATCTTTATTACATAAAATCAAAACTTATTCCCGATAATTAAGTACTACATTTACCACCCGGTCCTCCAAATTGAATAGAATAACCTTCACCCTTTATTTTATCTTCATAGTTCATAACTCCATAGCAATTAGGAGCATCATTGTAACTTTGTACTTCAAATGGTAGAGGATCAAAAGGATTTCTAACTATATCTAGTTGTTTTACAAATCTAAAATAAGATGCATGTGTGAAGTCTTTATCAGGTTTGTGTCCAGAACCCATTGCAGGGCTAGCAGTACCAGCAGGGGTTACAGTATATCCACCAAATCCTACTTGATCAGCTCCGTTCAAGTTGGAGAATAAAGCTGCAGGAAAATACCCAATATCCTTGTCTACTACTTTTAACCACCAATTTTTTACATTATCCTGAAACACCATAACATTTGATGATTTTGCATTTGAATTGTAATAATTCAAATATTTATGATTAAATTGAAAGAATATAATCTCATTTAAGATGTATATAATCTATAATATTTTGTATATCATGTCTTTGAACTATGCGTTTTGGCAAATATTTTTATGATATGGGCAATGTTAACCAATGCCCCTAGAGTACTGGTTAAGAATTATTAATTGCATATTAATATGTATTATATAAGAGAGAAACTAAGTGTGTTATATATTATACGAGAGAAAAACTAAATATATTATATGTATTGTATGAGAGGAAAAATAAATGTATTAAATTTATCTAAGATAATTAGTAATTAAATATATTTAATTATAACTTTTTAAAAAGAATTAAATCTGATCAAAGATAGTTTAACACTCCTTATCGAGTGCCTCTAGCGACACCCTTGTGATATTACATGATTTAAATATTTTAAATTTAAATTTTATGTAAAGAGATACCTGAGAAATTTGAAATGGCGCTTCAATAATCTTTCCTCCATATGTAGAAGTTGTAGATACACGTGTACCAAAGGTGTATGATTTGTCAACTTGAACGAAACCCTTACACAACATATCAAAGCATCCATTCTTACCTGACTGTAATTTTTTAATACCGCGTTATATTTTAAACAAATAAATATTTATTTATTTTTTAAATTTCTTATAAATTAAGATCCAGAGAAATATTGACAAAACTAATACAAATAATTTTAACAATTTATGTAAAAGGGAATTTTAAATAAAGAATTTTAAAAAATTAGAGAGTTATCCTTAGCCTAAAATCTATCTGAAACTTCTAAAACTTAAACTATTTTAAACAATAGTTTATAATAAAATAAAATAATAATAGATATTTGGTTTAAGATGCAAATGAATAGTCAAAATTTTGTAACGGGTAGAAAAGTTATCACTTATATAAATAATAATAATATATATAATATTAATAACTATATCCCAACCAAAAAAAAAATTAATAAGTAAATATTAAATTATATATAAATAATTACTTACCGTCCAATAGGAAAATAAGTGTGTTTGATTGTCATTATATAATTCTGGGAACACCTAACATCAGATATGAGATAAATTTAAAAACAAAGTTATATTTATATATACATTTATGTTTTTAGAATAAAAGAAAATTAAAATTATAGAATAAGTTAAAACTCACGTGCCATCCAACTGATACTTTGTTATAATTATCTCCATATCCTTTTTGAACATATAAATTACTTGAACTTGATTGGCCTTTATAAACTTTTGGATTCCAAACACTACTAGTTCCACTAACTCCATAATAAGGAGAACCAACTATTGAAAGATACACACGAGCAAACTATAATTTTAAAAGATTCACTTATTAATTAAAAATAGTAATATATGTTAATTATACAAATAAATAAAAATAAATAAAAATTTAATTGTATATACATGAGAAGGCTTACATGATTAATAGAGTCATTCTGAGTTAGATTATAACCATTGAATAAAGATTTTTTTTTAATTAAATCATATTTTGTTGTCCTTCGAATAGGAACTGTTCCTTTGGGACAGTTAAATTTCTCAAGTATGAGTATAGACTTAGGCTTGATTGGTGAATTCTGTATTCTAGTTTCTATGACCTTTTCTTCAAAAATTGGTTTTCTCTGACAAAACAAAAACAAAAATGAAGATTGAAACAATTTTTATAAGTAATAAAAAATTAAATGAAAATAATACATTAAATAATTTTACCTGTAATTTGTGATTTTTTAATAAAGGATGATCAAAAGCCGGTTGTTTATTAATGTCAACACAATCAATTATGTATCCTGACTTAGTCTATGAGAATCACCAAAATGAAATATAAACAAAATTGTTAGAAAGATATATCAAATTAAATCAATTGAAACCAACAATAAAATATGTAGAAAATACATGAATACTCTTTATAGGAGGCTTGTTAATGATGTGTAGTTGCCTCTCTAATTCCAAATCTTCTTCTTTCGACACTCTCTGCATACCATGATCTGTCTGACCAGTAATAATGGTCACCAAACACATAACCAATAATAATATGTTAATCAT